TGATTTTGTGCAGGTGAATTTTGAGGTTGGGTGAAAGGTGTTAGTGAAGTTGAAGAACTGTTCAAGCTCTTTGTGGGAGCACGAGGCAGCACCGAGACAGTCATCAATGTAGCAAAATAAGAGGCGGGGGACAGTCCATCTCTTGGACACATTTGACAAATTCCACTCCATCCAGGCCTTTTACACTCTGGGTGGCCCAGTCAATACAGGGGAAATGAAAATCTCCAACTGGTACTACTCTATTATTCCTACACGTATCTATAATGTCTCTAAACCTCTGATTCTCTAGTACCCACTGCCCATTTGGGGGTGTGTAATATAGTCCCAACAGAATGACCATCCCCTTCTTGTTTCTAAGTTCTAACTATATGGCCTCATTTGATGACCCCTTAAGAATATCCTCTGTAAGCACTGTTGTTATGTCCTCCCTTATCAAAAGGGCAATTCCCCTTTCTGGCATACATGTACTCCTGTCACACCTGTAGCTTCAGTATCCTGGGACATTGCCAGTTCTGCCCTTCTCTCAGCCATGTTTCTGTTGTGGCTGTAATATCCCAGTCCCCAGAGCCAATCCATACTCTGAGCTCATCTGCTTACCAGTCAGGCCCTGTGAATTGAAATAAATACATTTTAAACCAGTAGTCTTTCGCTCCCTTTACTGTGCCCCTGGCTATCCTGAATAGTAAACTTGCTCTCGATGGCTAATGTATTTTCCCCGACTTCTCGATGGTCCCTCTCTTATTCAGAGTCCCACCCCCGTGCCAAACTAGTTTAAACTCTCCCGGGCAACGCTAACAAATCTCCCTGCAAGGATATTGGACCCCCTCAGCCTCAAGTGCACCCATTCTTCTTGTACAGGTCACCTCTACACCAAAAGAGATCCCAATAATCCAAGAACTGAAGACCCTGTTGTGGTTGGTTGGCTCGCCGAGCTGGTTTGTTCCACAGGCGTTTCATTACCCTACTGCGTAACATCATCAGTGCAGCCTCCGATGAAGCGCTGTTGTGTTTTCCCACCTGTTATTTAAACTCTGGTGTCTGTTGAGCTGGATTACCTCACTTCCGGTTTTCCTTCGCAATGGAGTGTGTATGGGGTCTAGCTCTGTGTTTATTGATGGCTTTCTTAGTGGAGTACCAGACTTCTAGGAATTCCCGGGCTTGTCTCTGCTGTCCAGGATCCTGGTGTTGTCCCAATTGAATTGGTGGTTCTCCATATCCATGTGGATGGAGATGAGTGAGTATTGGTTGTGTCTTTTTGTTGCCAATTGATGTTCATGTACCCTTGTGGTTAATTTCCTTTCTGTTTGTTCAATGTAGTGTTTGTTGCAGTCTTTGCAGGGTATCTTGTGTATGACATTGGTCCTGTCTGTCGTGGGTCTTCATCTGGCCTATCTTTCTATTTCTCTCCACCCTTACACGTGGCACTAGGAGTAATCCAGAGATCACTACCCTTGAGGTCCTGCTTTTAACTTCTTACCTAACTTCCTATACTCATTTGGCAGGTCCCCATCCCTTTGTCTACCTGTTTCGTTTGTACTGATGTGCACAATGACCTCTGGCTATTCACCCTTCCCCTTCAGAATGTTCTGCAACTGCTCAGAGACATCCTTGACCCTGGTACCTGGGAGGCAATACGCCATCCTGGTGTGTCTTCTGCAGCCACAGAATCTCCTGTCTGTCCCCCTCACAACTGTGTCTCCCATCAGTATCACTCAGAGTGCACCCTTTCCCTCTGAGGCTCAGAGCCGGTCATAGTGCCACTGTCCTGACAGCTGCTGTTACTAGCTCCTGAAAGGTCACCCCCGCCAAATAGTATCCAAAGTGGTATACCTGTTACTGGGGAATGGCCACAGGGGAACACTGCACAATATGCCTTTCCTCCTCACCCCCACCCCTTACATCTTCTGGTGGTCACCCAGCTATCGGCAGCCTACACCTTAGGAGTGATCTTCACTATGGCTCTTATCAATGATTTTCTCTCACCCCAGATGATCCTGAGTGCATCCAGCTCCAGTTCCCTTACACAGTCTGTCAGGAGCTGCAGCCTGATAACAGCAGACCTCTGCTTGCCAACAATGATATGATTGGTTGTCAGGTAACTGAACGGCTTGGGGCTTGGAACAAGATACAGAGGAGCCTTCAGGCCACCACCAGTTCAGGAAATTTTGATGTTGTCTGCAACAAAAGCTACTTCAAACCTGAAGAAAATCAGTTTATTTTTCCTTCTGCAGTTGCTGTAAGCTGTGACTTTTTAAATTAATAACTCAGACCTTCCATAAGTCTGAGCCAACCCGGTATGCCTCCTGCAAACCAGTGAAAACATCTAGAGAAGAATACTGACAGCAACATTCTAATCAGCATAAGAGCCATCAGCAGAGCCGGCAAACAGAGACCACTGAACTGATTTGCCAGTTTTCTCTCGGTTCATAAATCTTGGTGAGAGAGAGAGAGTGTTTATAAGGGGTTTAGAGTTTTATGTAGAAGAGTTATATACCAATGGTTCATAAATTTTTACCTGTTTATTTGTTCATAGTAATTCTTGTAGAGTTCTAAAAAAAAAACTGGAATATACGTTTTATCAACCTAGGTTTAAAAGACAGGTAAATTGGGAAATTTTTGCATATTTCTGTGGAATCTTAACTTTTATGATGACTCTGAGAACAGCAAGGCTTGATTTTCAGTGTGCTACCCCAGTGAAGCATGACACCAACTTATCCATCTGAAATATATAGTTCCTTGTTTCCAAAAATCATTATCTCATCATTTTATTGCCCTTCTTTGGCTGTAGACTTTCCTTTCTTTGGTTTATGTTGACAGATGACATATGATACAAAAAAAAATTAGTGTAGGAAGAGATTATTCAGCATCTTGTGTCCCAAATAGTCATAGAGATGTACAGCACAGAAACAGACCCTTCGGTCCTACTTGTCCATGCTGAACAGATATCCTAAATTAAACTAGTCCCATTTGC